AAAAAAAAGCCTGAGCAAGAAAATCCTTGAGACTCTCCAATTAACCACCAGAAAACCAGAAGTGGTGCTGTATGTAGCTCAAGTGGTAGAGCACTCTCATTGAGCTGAAGAGCTCAGGAACAGTGCCAAGGCCCAGAGGTCAAGCCCCATGACAAAAAAAAAAAAAAGTACATTTTCTGTAACCCCTCTGTACATTACATTTATCACAATAAAAATATAAAAAAAGAAAAGATATATTAAGAGGTGATTTTTATTATTAGAATTGGCTCACACACTTATGGGGCTGAGAAATACTCCGAAAGCTGGATGTCCCTGGAACGAGGCGGTATAATTCAGGCGTAAGTCCAAGTTCCACTGGAAGGCTTAGAGGCTTAGGAATCTGAGTTCTGATGTCCAAGAACAGGCAGGAGATGACAAGTATCTCAGTTCCAGAAAGTTCCCCTTTCCTCTACCTTTTTGTTCGATTCAATGTCTGGATTAATTAGGTGGTGTCTTCTCACATTGAGTAAGTGATCTTCAATACTCTGATCCAAATGCCAATCTCTTCCAGACCTAGCTAGAAAAAAATACTTTACCAGCTGTCTGGGGATACCTGAATCTAATCAAGTGCACACCAAAAATTAACCATTACTGATGTAGTGAAAAAAAATTATTTCAAATGATTTGAGATATAGTATTTGCCATTCTTTACTAAATATTGTAAGGTATATTAAATAGGTAGGTTTCATTAGGTAGCGATGAGAACACCACACACTATTCAGGCAGGAGAGGAAGTTTATTTACCAAACTGCTGCCCCCCCCCCCCCATGCATGGTGGAGAGGCATGGCTGAAAAGGAAAGGCTGGGGGGGGGAGGGGAAGGGGGAGAGGCCAAGTACAGGATTTATCTGGGCCAGGACTTATCTAGGCTAGGTACAGGAAGAGGTGTGGCCAGGTGGGGGAAAGGTGTGTCCACACTGGATCTGGATGTGACCTCAGGGTCTAGGACCCTCCTAAGGTCAGATGGTAGGCATGTGACCAGAGTTGGCCCTGGATGTGACCTAGCAGGAGGGGAAGTTGACTGATCCAGGTCTGCCAGTTACCTAGGTAACAGATACTGGGTGGAGACTTAGCCAAGAGGGAGGGAGGTATCCTTGTGCATACCTTACAAATATCTTCTCCTAAAGACAAAAAAGAACAGCAAAGAGATATTAAATGATGGGACTCAGGAATACATTTCTGAGGCAGTGCAGTATGGGTAAGACCAGTACTGCAACAAAGAAATCCTAAATTATGATAGATAATTATATGTTTAGTAATAATACTATTGCAATGTTTAGTAATAACAGTATATGTTTTGATAAAGCCAATAAAGAATTATGTGAATGTTAATAATGTAAGTTCTGAAAGACAGCCCCAGGCCTAGAGTTCAAGCCCCATGACTGACAAAAAAAAAAGAAAAGAAAAGAAAAGAAAAAGTGTTTATATAAAGGTCTTATTTTCTAGGTATCCAGTAGGATGACCAAGGTCTAAAAGACTGTCATGCCTGTAACTCTAGCTACTCAGGAGGCTAAGATCTAAGGGTTAATGTTCAAAGCCAGCCCCATGCAGCAAAGTCTTTGAGACCCTTTTCTCCAATTACTCACCAAAAGCCAGAAGTGGAGATGTGTCTCAAGAGGTAGAACACTAGTTATTGAGGGGGAAAAAAATCCTCAAAGACAGCACCCAGACCAAGAGATCAAGGCCCAGGACCAGCACAAAAAAATTAAGGCTAAATCTGATAGCACTGGAATGGGGAAATACTTTTCTGGACTAGAATCTATTCTCTCCCCATGGGCTTCCCTGAGCTGAGAAGGTTACTTAGTGGTGGAGTGCTTGCCTAGCATGCGTGAAGCACTGTGTTTGATTCCTCAGTACAACATAAACAGAAAAACCCAGAAATGGCTCTATGGCTCCAAGTGGTAGAGTGCTAGCCTTGAGCAAAAGAAGCTCAGAGACAGTGCCCAGGCCCTGAGGTTCAAGCCCCAGGATTGGGGGAGGGGGGAAGAAGTCCCTATCTCCTTAAGGAGCCTACTCTCAGGCTCAAGATTAAACTGTGAAAGACAAAGAGGATCTAAAAAGAACACAACTTCCCTCACCCAGAAGAACTCTAGGTAGTCACCGAATCATTTAGAGAAGGTGAAAAGGGAGAGTCTGATTTCTGCTGCTTAGTAACCTCCCCCTTTTAGATAAAAACCCTAAGCCCCAGTGCTTTTTGTGCATTTAGAGAGTACTTTAGGGGCTGGGAAGGTGGCCCAGCAGTAGAGTGCTTGCCTTGCATGCATGAGGCCCTGAGTTTGATTCCTCAGCACCACATAAGCAGAAAAAGCCAGAAATAGTGCTGTGGCTCAAGTGGTAGAGTGCTAGCCTTGAGCAGAAGAGCTGAGAGACAGCACCCAGGCCCAGAGTTCAGGCCCAATGACCAAAAAAAAAAGATTGTGCTTCAGGAAATTATCTCCCATTTACCATCCTACCATAATTTTCCACCACAAATGTTTCAGATTATTCTTCTTCAACTAGTGCTCTACTACTTGAATGACAGCTCGACTTTTGGGCTTTTATCCGCACATAATTGGACATAAGATTCTGATGGACTTTTCCTACCTGGGCTGGCTTGGAACCACGATCCTCAGATCTTAGCCTCCTGAATAGCAGAGGATTATATGCTTGGGCTACTGATGCCCAGCCCCTGTTCTCTTGAATAGCTTTTTAAGTTAAGTCTGGCATTTTACTACTTGAGCCACAGCTCCACTCAGGCTTTTTGGAAGCTTAGTTGGAGATGAGTCTCATGGACTTTCCTGCCTGGGCTGGATTTGAACTTTGATCCCAGATCTCAGCCTCCTGAGTAGCTAGGGTTACAAGCATGAAACATCTTTTTATTTTATTTTATTTTGGGTCTGGTCGTGGGCCTGAACTGTGGCCTGGGCACTGTCCCTCAGCTCTTAAGCTCAAGGCTAGCGCTCTACCACTTGAGCCACAGCACCACTTCCGGCTTTTTTCTTTTTGCTTATGTGGTGCTGAGGAATCGAACCCAAGGCCTCATGCATGCAAGGCAAGCACTCTATCATAGAGCCACCTTCCCAGCCCATGAGGCATCTTTTTAAAAGCCAAGGTGCCTTGTTTTTTGGATTTCTGGTTTATTTATTTGCCAATCTCAGGGCTTGAACTTGAACTCAGAGCCTGGGCACTATCCCTGAACTTCTTCTATTAAAGCTAACATGCTACAACTAAGCCACCTTCACAGCCCTGTTGCCTTGTTTCAATGCTTCATTAATGTGAATCGTGATTTTCTAATGCTACCAGTTCTGTTGCATTTATCAGTCTACACAGTATTTAGGTGCCCTGAAATATGTAGCAGAACAAATGCTTAGTTTCTTTCTCTTATTTCACCAATTTTGAAAATAGATGATTCCTTAGGTGGTTGGAAGGTGAATGAAGACATGTTTTTCTCTCTAGTATCGCTGAATTCATTTGTTTGGCATATAATCATGTTTCAATTGTGACAGGAAACATTCTTTTCATGCTCAGATTGTCTTTGGCCAGTGGGCACCCTTTCATCCGGGCACTTGGGTCCTTCTTACATAGCCTCAGTAGTATTTGACAGCCATCAAAATGCTAGGGGATGCTCTACATTGCTTGTTTTAGTTTAGAAATCAGTCTCTCTGAGTGATGATTGGCCCTTCTGAGTGAAAAAATTCGTTTAGATCGTAAATGGGATCTTTCCTGCAAGCCAGGCAACATGTCTGTGGCTGAGGTCTTGCTCTTTTCACTTAAGCATATATCCTGGAGTCCACGGAATGGCCCATTTTTGTCTTGCATAAATAACCTCACAGAGCTGCATTGTGTGCATGAACGGTGATTTATACAGCCAATCCTTTGTGGGTGGACATGTGTATTCAATAAGCGTCTATTGCATGACTCAATTGTGCCAGGAACTGAGCATAAAGACATGGTGGTTGGCTTCAGGAAACTCAGTGCAGAGGAGGGGATGTCTACAATACAAGTACTTTTCCTCCCATCGAAGCAGAGCTGAAATCCATTTACCACCAGGACTACATGGAAGAAACCCTCACATACAGACATACAGGAGAGATATAATAAGCTCCTTATTGATTGGCATCTTGCTGTACTTGAGCCTTGGGGGGTGGGGGGGAATGGTTATCAGGGGTTGGGATTGCTAGGAAAATCGTGAGTGCCACCAATTGGTCAGGGAAGAGAAGGCCAAATGAAAGAGGAGGAGATGGGGACCGGAGGACAAAAGTCTCCATGAAAGAGGAAATAAAAGTGAAAGTTCAAGTCAGGGCCTGGGCACTCTTGCTTGGTGGCTTTTTCAGGGCAAAGCCTGTGCCCTACCACTTAAGCCACGCCTCCACTTCCAGCTTTTTGCTGGGTCCTTGGATGTAAGAATGTTTTCTCTGGTTTGGATCCCAGATCTTTAGATCTCAACCTCCTGGGTAGCTAGGTTTACAAGCGTGATATTATTAAACCAATAGAACTATCTTAGGACCGTTGTTCTAAATGGTTTCTGTATATTTAATTCTTTTACTTTTAAAAGTTCTAACCGGTATTTTTTTTTTTTTAATGAGAATGCACTTAGGACACAGGGTTGCCGAATACACACACACATACCCCTCCTCTGCCGTGCTTTCTCTGGACGGGGGGGCCTAGACACTGGAAGGACCCCAAAGTCTCTTATGAATGCATGTCCCGGGACAGCGATGGG